TACCTCTGCATCTAGTATTATTACTAGCTAAACTGAAGTGTTATATCCTATGAAGTCCTAGAAGGTCGAATTGTACTAACTGTCATTGCATCTCTGGAGTCTGGTGTGTTTACTGAGATAGGAAAGCATTCAAGCACCGGGCCTAGAATTGGCTCGTTGTTAATGTTTGATGAATGAATGAATGAAATCTGCATCATGCATACAGAGAACACTTTTTGTGTGATAAATAACTGACAGCCTTTTTTGAGCTAATTTTAGGAAACGAAACTCTTCAGTATGTGAGCTGATAGAAGTACTGTTACTTGTTGTTGAAACTTGGCACAACTTGCAAACCTAAATGGCCCAGTAGGAGAGCTGCATGTTCGAGAAAAGAACAAAAGGCAAAGAAGAAAATGATAAAACCTTACGGAATGCTCTCTGGGCAAGGCTTATTCTTCTTTGGGTGTGGTATGCATTACATAAAGGTAATCCATTAAGAATACACATTAATAACTAATATGCAATTTGCATATTTAAAATCCTACATATTTTGTCATAACAAAACACAGTATAGCAATGGTTTTCACCTGTATTTAATATTTTTGGATGGGTGTTTTAAACATTACCATTTCACTGCACATACTCACTGCATTTCTGAATCAGAACATGTTTTTTGAAAGATGCCTTTATTTCATAGTACTATGTTTTTAATTATGTGCAAATATTTAAGCGACTGAAATATAAAATATTCATTCATATTCTTAATGTATGTGGTGTTCCAACCCATTTTTTTGTCACTCCAGATCACAATATACTTTCCCTTGTAAGCTGCATATTGAATCATGGGAATAATACATTAAAACATTAGTAAAATAAATAGAGATCACACCTGGGCTAAATATAGAAAGCACTAAGTTCCTGATGGGCATCCACGCATCATAGAAATTAGACATTCCAACCCATATAGTAATTTTTAAAAATCGTGGACAATGTCATCAAAATCAACATCATTAAAAATCAGTCACAGCAAAGACAATGACAATGAAATTTCTGTATGAAGAAAAGATTTCTGAATCACACATGATAATCAAATTATTTTGAACAATATTCAATACTATAATAGTTTAGTGCAATTTAGTAATTGAGATACCCCTTGAGAGATACTTGATTTTAATCAAAGCAAATTTAATTGAAGAGATTGTCCTCCAACTTTATCCCAAGTTAATTTCTAAATCTTACCCTGCTCTTCACTGTTCTTAAAGACCATATTATTTTACTGTTTTTTTTACAATTTTTTGCAACTGAGACATTTTATTTATGATAGTATTTTACATATCTAAATTTTGCTGCACTGAAGGCATGATTAAAAATGTATGGCATATATTAACATTTTAAACACATATAGGAAACAATTATCAAAATAATGTGCTGATTTTTCTAGAGATCTACAAAAACAAACTAGCCCTTCAAAGTGTCCTAGAAATCTTTTTTTTTCCTCTTTTCTGAATATAGTCTACTCATATTCTCCAAGTAACAAGTTAAAATGTGTGTGATATATTTGCCACTAAACCTTTCTGTGTGAAATGTAAATACTAAATTACCTAATAGAGTCCTATTTCAACTTCTAAATGGAATTATTTATAACCTCTTTGGAATAAAATTAAATGAGCTACACTTAACCATCTGGGTATTTTGCTTCCTACAGACAATTTGCAATGGTATGGTAAAATATTTTGTTTGCTTGTGTGCTTGTTTCTTATTAAACAGGTATGATAAAACTGCCTTTGTAATCACATTTTTTTCCTGACTTTCAGAGTAAGGTAGTCCATGTGCAGCAGCCTGATGTAAAGATTAAAAAATAATAATTATTAATAGGAATAAAACAGTACTGCAAATATAATGAAAGCGTGACTTGACAATGGCTAAGAATTTCAAAAGATGAAACACTCTGAGAATGTTCATCTGCATAGTAACATATTGACTAAGATTCTTTAAAGAAAGAATTATATACTTACTGAGCAGACCAGATAATTAAATAATTACACATTTTGATTGAAAAATATATGTAATTCATTAAAATAGAGACTCTAACTTCACTTCTCTAGCTAAGCTTCTATTCAGATGCCAAGTTTGTACTTTAATTAGAACAAAAGACCGACATTAACTTCAATGCAACATAATAATTCATAATAATGATTGTATATTAATCTCTTGAGCTTGCTGGAATATAGCACATGACATATGGCATAGTACAGACACCTGTGTAGTTCTCTGGGGACTGAGGTGGTGCATATTAATTAGCCCCTGGGAAATAAAATGTTTCCTTCTGAGAAAAGCTACCTCAGTGGTTATTGGTTTACAACATCAAAGGAAGTAGAGGCAATACTGTTAGGCTCTGTCTATACTCATTAAAACATTGTCTAGATGTGAGCACTGGATCAACTGTTCCTGAATTAATTCTTGACAGCATCCTGTTTAAGAAATTAGAGTAGCCATGCATCTCGTTGGCTTCAGTGATTGGGTTTTGGCTGAAAACCTCAAAATTACCATTTTGGTTACAGAAAATTATATAACTATATAATCCAAACAGGGAGTAATCTAACCAGAAGCATATTAAAATTTGAAGCAGCTCCTTTTTCTTGAATGCTACCTGAAAGTGCCTCAGTTTAATGCCTTGCTTTGTAAATTTAGATACAATCTGAATATGAGATTATAAATGTCTTTACGAAAAATGTCATCTCATACTAAGCAAGGTCTTGAGCTTCTTGGCACTCCCAAGTATGCTAAAGGCATGTCAGTGTATACCTTCAAAGTAGAATGGAAATGTATACCTTGAAATTATGGAAATAGAGCTCTGGCTGATTAACAGATAAATACATATTGAGATGAATAGATCCTAAATACACTAATCCCATTGCTAAAGTATATCTAGAAAGAGAAAACAGGAAATTAAGTGAATATGGTGATGACCAGAAAAAGGTTACATTTTAAAGATTTCTTTTCCAACTGTCTTTTCAAGTTCTTGTCACCTGTAATTCTGAATTGCATAAAACTCACTTAACTGAAAAGTATTTATACGTGAAGTTTTAAACATCTTTCAGAATAGCAGATTCTGAGGCTGTTTTAAGCCCACAATTTAAATTTATGCAAGAAATACCAATTCACTAGAAAGTAGGCAGAGTATTTCTTTTCTCAAATAGCACATTGTTTAGCTTTCCCTTGGGTTACATTCATGATCTTGTGATGGAACAGTTATGTTGCTGATGTATTTATTCGAATATGTGGATCCATTTCCCTTCCACTCAACACGTGGATTGGCAGCTTAAAATAATTCTTTTCTACTAGGAGAATGTGTGGCTAAGGCACATTTAAATAGCCTATTAAACCAATGAGATGACAATGTGCTACCCTCAGAGAAAGCTTAATTTTTGGAGTAATTAATTACACATTCCACAGAATATCTCTTGAGAACATTTTTGGCTAGGTCTTCCAATTTATTGTGCAAATAATTATAGTTTTTCATTGGAGGCAAAGTTGCTGATTCATTATTAGGCAGATGGTAACAGATCATTGTTTATTTTATTTTCATGAACCTATTTTTTCAATGGGGAAATCTACTGTATGCCGTGTGTGTGTGTATTGTGTGTGTGTGTGTATTTTAAAAAGTCAATTAGTTTTTCTGAATCTTTAAGGATGATATAAAACTGTGGTTGTAAATCCCAGCACCTGCTCTTCTTTTATTTTCAGTGAAATTATACAGGCATTTTGAGGAGGAAATTGTGAAATATGTGGCTTCTCGTCTCTTTTTATGTCGTTTCATCTAGTTACCATGATATTTTACAATGGTACACTTATTTTTAATGCTTTTATAGATAGCTTCTAATTTATCTACACACGCCCACCATTGCTAGGGTGGGCCAACATCATAGGGAATGATGTAATTTGTTTCTTCAAACTCTTTAATTAAACTAGTAAAATGGCAGGCTACACAGTCTGATCAGTTGTGCGGAAATACATTAAAATTTTCAGTTACATCACGTTCTATAACCAAAAAATTCTTCTGATGTTTTCTGCAGCACTCAATGTGAGGAACACGGGACTGAATACCAGAGAACCCAGCAGGGAGACACCTCAGCCATTTTTATTAGCTGTGGAATTTTAGACAAGTCGCTCAACCAAATGTCTTCATTTCTAAAATGGGTTACTGTGGGGGTTCAGTTAGAAGAAACAAATATGAATATGTGAAAAAGTCTATGATACTGCCTGACATGTAGTAGGCACAGATGTTAGCTGTGTCTGCATCCTTTTTTTTTTTTTTTTTTTTTTTTTTTTTTGAGAGATGCAATGGTTTCTCTCTGTCTCTTTTCTTCTAATGGTGCCATTAACAGCAAAGTTTTGGGTCCTTCCTGTTATCGTGACTCTTTATTTGATTTACATATATTACCAAGTAATGTTTCTCAAGACCCAGGATCAGTGTAGATTAGAAATTCTTAAACTTAAAATTCAGTGTACTTGAATATTATCTGAGCAATCTTGCTAAAGATGAGCATTCCTCGGCCTCACTCCTCCAAATCCATATTTGGGAAATACTGATTTAGACTGCTGATTTAATACAAAGCTAAAACGTCCTCTCTTAGAAGCATTTTACTCAATGTTCTCCTTCCTAGTATCATGTAGAGACTCTCTCCATTTCTCCCAAGTACCCAGTCTTGGTGTCCTTTTCCTGGGTTCCCTGCGGGGACAGGGAACTATAGACAGTTCCGTCTATAGTCAGAGAATGAACGAACCCTTAATTAAAAGCAGTGATTCCATCCCAGATAGCCTCTGGTTAAATTGCTAGTTACATAGAATGCACTGGAAAAAAACATTTGTAGCCCTAGCACCTCAGGGAGAGAACTGGACATATTGCATGAAAAAGCAGAGACATTTAAATTCCAGTGTTTTTTAGTTTAGTATCTTTGCTACTAACTAACCCATGGACTATATCATGTTGCTAATCACTTTGGCTTCACTCACTTCCTCTGATGAGAGTGACAATGCTTTCCCTGGCTAAAGGTAATATCCTAGGGCTTAGACCAGAATGTCTCAGGCTTTCTTTTCATGCAACCTCCGCTTTTCCACAAAGGGCAGTAGCTCACTCATACCTTTCTTGAACCCAAATTTAAGTGGTGAATGTATGCCATATTTTCTTGGGAGAGTAACCATTTGTGACTCATTGTGCCCTGGCACCATTCTATAAACGAAGGATTGTGAGAAGTACCAGCCACCCGGATATCTCCACAACAGTTTGAACCTACTATCAATTCACCAAAAACACTTGTAATTAATTTGCATAGGATTTTATTTACTTGGATTTGTTAAGGAAAAAAAAAAATTAAAATGATATAAATTTAGAGGAACACCATAGCAGTGATGTTCTAGTTAAGAGGTTTGTTGTAGTCGAAGATCTAAAGCAGCATCTATAGAATTAGTGGACATCCATTTTAATTATAATTTACTTTCTTCACATAATCTCTTAAATAGACTAATAAAAACACACTAGTACATAGTTAATTTTAGCTTTTTTTTTTCAAATAGCAAATATATAATCTAGAAGGGAGAACACATAATATTGAGATTTTTATCTATGCAATGTGGTTTACGTAGGTATGCGATCTTTAGACAAAAACGTATAAACATGTATTTTGTGCTCTCGACAGTCTTACCGACTAAGGGAGTGAGTTTCCTTAGGATTTTGTTTTCAAATGATAAACTACCAAACTAATGATTATTTGCTTGTGCTTGCTTTAAATTCAGCTTCATCTTCAAAATGCCGTTTGGTTTATATTAACTTCAACTATAACGAAGAACTAGAAGGAACACATGAAAGCTTGATTAAATATGGAGGATCCCTTGGTAGAAAGCATTCTCTTATTTGGCCCTGAACAGTGTTTGTGTGTGTCTTTCCCCTCTGTTCTGCTATTGATTTCTGTGGACCAGAAATCAGGGCACTGACACTGAGGCACGCAAGAAGTTGGTCCTCTTAGCTTTTCCTTGTAGATACTCCTCAACATAGGAAATATTTTCAAACAAGCACACTGGTTTCAAAAAAAATGTGTAAGGTAGTTTCATTTGTCACTTAAAAATATGCGCACACAGGCAACTCATAGGAAAATGGATTTCTGCTTGAATTATCCAGCTAATTGCATCAACTCTCCTCTTTGCCTTGAGCATATCAACATTACTTATGATAGGAACAGCTGACCCTTATAAATCAATTAATCAATACTGATTAATTCTTTCCCCTCAGCTGTAGCTTTTCTTTAAACCAAGAGTAGGTTCATGCTTATCCATAAAAACTGGAGACTTCCACATACAGGCATTGGCTGTAATGTTGCCCTGGTGGAATATCTACAAAGGGAAGTGTGTCTGGGTGTTGTGTTAGGTGGAGACAATTCACATAAAATATACTGAGGGTACGTTTCCTAAGGGGAATTGCTTTATTCAATACCAAAAGAAAATTTCTAAGGATAAAGCTCAAAGTTCAAACTGTCACCTAACAGACAGAATGTTGGGCTTTTGGGGAAACAGTGGATGCTGGGGCCATTTCATGACAATGTCAGTATGAAAAACTTCATTTTCCACAGGAGAAAACTGAAGTGTGGGAAAGACACATTCTTGTAGTAACACTGTATTTTCTGCATAAAATTAGAAGCATGAATATTTGCTACACTTTCATCTTAGTCACAATGAAGGATAAAGAAGGAAAAATATCAAAAGCCTCTTCACAGAATTAAGAAGTTTTCCATTGATCAAACAACTATTTCTTTCATTGTAAGTCCTTTTTGTCAGTGGCAGAAATAGCAATTTGATGCTTTTCAAGATAGTTCGGGTTTTCAAAGAGAAACTTTGCTACTTTCCTGTGGAAATTACATGGTTTTCTGTTAAAACCGCCTTACAGGAAGGAGTTTCAGAAAAAAAGACAAGAAGGAATAGCGATGCAAAATGCCTTCATTTTAGAGTAGCTGGGTTTCAATGCTTCCAACAGAACCAACAGAAGAAGAAATCAGAAATATTTTCTCCCTCATAAGACATATATCACTCCTGAAATTTGTACAAAATCAACTGAAGCAAATTAGGGGTTTCAAAGCTAGTCACCTTATAAGTTGTTAGGAAAAAATTTGCATTTAAATTGCTCTGTGCAGCTACTTTGAGATTTTTCCCCTGGAATGTTTATGGCTCTTTTTTTCATTAATACTTAAAAAATACAATTTCATAACCAGTGTATTACTACATCTAGTTGTATTACGAACAGGCACTTCATTTCATAAAATAGAAACATTCAAAGTGGTTTTGGTCGACCAATCAGTCAGTCGGAATACTTGAATTCTTCATATTGAATACTTACTAGTGAAGTTAATCTGAAATCATATCAACTCTCCATTTCTATTACAGAAACTAGGTTATTAATAGCTTCCATTCCTATATGTTTTAACTTCCGTTCCTATATGTTTTATCCCTAGGAGTGAAGACTGTCCAGAACATCTTGGAACTTTCCCCCCCCACATATTTTATATATACAAAAATACAGCAGATTTCTTTTTAATACATAAATCTTAAGGATTATCTCAATAACTCGCTTTGACATATTCAGAGATGTCGATATAAGAAAATATTAAATGTGCAAAATGCTCTTTTATATGTACATTTAAAAACACGATGTCATAATAGCTTTAGACTTGTATAAAAAGTCACTGGGGGGAAAGTCTTCAATGTCAGAAAATCTGGTTAAATTAGAGCTTTTGCTTGAGGAATTGTAAACAAACTTTTTAAAATGCTGAGAGTTTACTCAGTTCTTTCCAGCCAAGACATCCTCGAACACATCAAGTCCTGCTTTGAAGTAAACCTGAGCTGAATTAATGCTGTTCAGCACCTCTGACAGGGCTTCTTGAAGACTCTCATTTGAGGCAAGTAACTGGCAGCGCTCCTGTGCTTCCAGGAGGATTGAAAACTGGCTTGTCTTCTCATCAAGGTGGTACAGGATATTTCTAAAGAGAAATAAGGAATGTGTAAATGTCGTAGGCACAGTGCTCTTTTCATATCAAACATCATAATAACTATTTCCAAGAAACAGTGGCATTTGCAGTAAATGAAGAAATTATATAAATACCATATCATCATTTTCCAACCTCTCATGAATTGAATGCAGACATGGGTCATCAAGTTTCCTATAGTGGTGAGAGATAATTAGACATTATATGCCCCCTCATGGAAGTGTACAATACTATCTGTGAAATAGAATGAAGTAGTTTTGCTGAAAAAGTTGAATCTGAATCTGATGAAGCTTCTAAATCTAATTGCTAATAAATACGAGAGACAGAGAAATACCTTAAATGATGCAATGATGTGTCATTAGCAAATGGGAACCATGGGAAACTCTGTAGGACAAATCACCCTGCTTGTCCACAAATAATTGCAATAAAAAATAGGTGAAGGAAAAACCTCCAGACTAAGGTTTGCCAACCTCGGCCTCCTTGACATTTGTGGCTGGGTGATTCTTTTTTGTGCAGTTGTCCTATGCATTACAGGATGCTTAGCAGTATCCCTGGCACCCACCCACTAGACACCAGTAGCTCTCTCCTTTGGTTGTGTCATTGAATTCAGGCTGCTGTAACAGAATACCAACACTGAGTGGCTTGACCAACAAAGGTTTATTTCTCACAGTTTTTGGGCTGGAAGTCTGAGACCAAGGTGCCAGCATGGCTAGGCTCTTGGTTGGAGTCTTCTCCCTGTTTCCATTCTCACAAGTCCCTCTATGGTGCACACACACACACACACCCACACACACACAGAGAGAGAGAGAGAGAGAGAGAGAGAGAAATCCTGTGTCTTCTCCTCTTTTTATAAGGGTATTTGTCCCATCATGAGGGTCGTACCTCCATGAACTCATCTAACCTTAATTAGCTCCCAAAGTCCCCACCTACAAATACCACCATGTTGGGGTTAGGGGTTTAACTCATATATTTTGGGAGGATACAAGCATTCAGTCCATAGCAGTTGTGAAAACCAAAAATGTCTCCAGACTGCCAAAACTGTCCCTGACAGGGCAAAATTGCCCCTGATGGACAGCTACTGCTTTACCAAAAGAAACATATCAACCAGTCATGAAGTATAGACTTTACCAGACTTTTACTCAAACTGTTTAAAGAATGAGAAGCAGTGCAAAATTGACTACTAATTGAAGATTTGTTAATTATTAAGGAATTGTTAATATTTTAGGTGTGATGATGTTATCATTGGTATGTTTTCAAAAAGTGTCCTTATTTTCTAGAAATACATAGAGTAATATTGTAAATGAAAGATTATATTGTGTCTAGGATTTTACTTCAAAACATTTGGGAGGAAAAATGGGAGTGGAGCCCTGGACAGTATAGATGGAACAAGATTGACATTAGTTAAAAATTGTTGAAACTGGATAATAGAATGTATTATACATTCTTTCTTCTTTTGTATATATTTGATATTTAGAATACTATCTTCTCATAAGTGTGGAGTGTATATTAAATGGTGCCCTGAAATTTATCCAAATTTCTTAGAAAGAAGAATTTGGCCTTGAGCAAATCTACCGTGGTCCGTTTTATCATTGATAGATAGAAAGAGATGCATTTTGGCAGAGAACTATGAATTATTACATCATTCCACTTATTCCCAGCCCAAACTAGGTGAAATTCCATGGTCTGATGAGAGAAGCAGATATAAATAATTAAAATACAGGTGTCTATCAAATTAAAAATGAAAGGTATAATGATAACAGATGACGTGTTGCCATTGAAAAGGGTCAGAAAAAATTTCATAATAGAGAATATTTGAGCATCTTCTTGAGTCACAGGTTACAAAGGCTTAGGAAAGGAAACAAGGTGGAAAGCAGAGACAGCACCCTATGCAAGAGGGATAGTATATCCAAAGGTACACATTTCTAAAATAGTTTGGTCTGCCCAGTAAATCAATGTCAGTGTTTCTGTATGAACAATGTGCAAGGCCAGTGGGCAGCTATAGAGGAGCTGGGAGAAGATATCCAGCCATCCTAGTGACCCTTCTGTACCAAGTGAAGGATATCTCACTTTTTCTGAAAGGCATAAGAAAGCAGTGAAAGGTTTTAAGCAAAAGAGAAAGGTTATGAGATTTTATTTGGCATGATCACTTTGTAATATAAAGTCTGGAGGACCACTTAGTCCAGATGAAAGGTGACAAAGATGTTAGTTACAGAGTGATGGTTAATTTTGAAAAGATGAAGGGCCACGGTACAGATTTAGCTACCTTATACTTTCCCTGACACTAACCTCCACTTAGAGAGAGTTCTGAATTCTTGTTTTCTATCTCCTCCAAACTCCTCTACCTCAGCTTCTCCCAAACTTACCACTTTGTATTCTGTGGTTTACGTAATCTACCTAATCACTCATGCCAGAACCCTGCAAGTCATCTCTTTTCCTTATGTATCTAACTGGTCTCTGACGATATTGACTTCCCCATCTTTTCAGTGTTTTTTCTTCTCTGCTATGTGACACTGCACCCTATATTTGCAAGGATATGCCATGATATTGCTTTCACATAGGGTTGAGAAAGACATTACTTCTTTATCAGGTCTCATTTAGTGTTGTGAATACAGGAGATCTTTAGTCATGGTGATTTAATTACCTAATTTTTTATCAGGCTTAGTTCAGTGATGGGAACTTAATAGATCCTCAATCATATTGGTATAAATTACATCAATCCACTTTGTTTTGCATTTTAAGCTTTAAATATTTAATAATAAAACTGTCTTAAATTTCTGACTTTGGAGAAAAATTTAAGTTAACAATAAGTACATAGTGGGAGGCAGTAGGGCAGAAGATCCTTAAACTCAGAAGCTATTTCATTGAATTTTTCAAAACAGATAATTTAAAATGAGAACTATCCCTAATAATCCAAGATCCTTGACTTTTGTGCCTGTGAGTAAACTTGGCATTATACGAATTAAATAGAGCAGAGCAAGAAAGGTACTTTCTAGATTCCAAATATTCTTGAATTCAGGTATAAAATTTGTATTAAGAAACATATATTCCCTGAATATGGGAGGGGAAAAAACATCTTCCAAACGGAGTGGCAAGTGGATCATGTATAATTCTCTGGTCACAAATTGTACTCAGAAAAATTTGCATCTGTTTCCACAATTAGAACACTCTTTTTAAAACAGAAATTTCCCTTCTGCCACTTCCATAGTATTCATAAAATTAGAGATATTGTCAGAAGAAGCCATTCAACCATGCTAATCATATAACCCATTATACATGTACATACATACAGTATCCATACGTACATGTTTCTATGTGTAGAAGTTTTTATTTTATTAAAATAACGTAAAATAGTGAGAATTAGTGAAATACCTAATGACAATTTCCCTAAATATTAGTTTTACTACTTTTACATCATTAAGGAGGGTAGGAAATAAAAGAAACCAAATAATACAGAGGAACATTGATACGACCATGGAATTTTTCCAAATGGAGATAAAATTGCCTCAGATAGTCACATGTATTCTCCTACCTGCCACAGCCTACACAAAAGTTACTTTTTTCATCTTTACATAATCTTTTTCGATTGCCATTTTTAAAAAAGGAGTGGGTTTTTAGTGTCAGGATACCTACCAAATGTGTGTGTGTGTGTGTGTGTGTGTGTGTGTGATAAAGGAAAATTACTTAATAACAGATCTTTTGAGGATAAAAAGTTTAAAATATATTTAATTATTCAATCAATTAAAAGTACTCTTTTATAGATAACTTATACTGTTTGCAATAAGAATAACTAAATTAGTTTAATAGAATAGTTTTAAGTTCTCTCCTTCTACTTTGTAAGTTTTCTGTTTAACTATAAATAGTCCACAGCAAATATATTTCCAGAATGTAAGAATGAAAAAGATATTTTGAAAAGCTGTACCAAATAGTTCCCATTCCTGAAAGGCATATTGTTAAGCATGCTGACAAACAAAAGTATTATAATCTTCATTATCCAGAACTGCCTCTTAAATGAGTTGAATGAGTGCAATTAATATATTATGGGGAACATGTTTAATAATTTTTATACTAGTATAGTGACCTTTCCACATTTTCAAAATCTACTGGCACAAAATACATCCCTACATATACATTCTATGGTTATTAAATGTTAAATATTATTAATATTAAATTTAATGATAAGATATTAATAAAACATGCTCATAAAAGGTTACAAGATTAATCCCTCAGTGACAATTCATTTAATCATGAGCACAATCTCTAATATATATATCTCTAAAATTTCAGCATAACGACTATAAAGTATCTAGAAGGGTAATAAGGTAGAAGAATAAAAAAAAATCCTTAAAAGGATGTTTAGGTCTAAAACACAAGAAATATAATTTCTCTCTCTCTTTTTTTTAACTGGAAAGCAATACATGTACTTCTTAAAGACCAATGCAATAGAGTCTGTAGTGTGCCAACATTTGCTTTTTCTAAGTAGTAAGCAGCACAGTAACATACTTTTATAATGACTGTAAACAAGCCAAGTGAATAGAAATGGATCCTTTTTTGGTTTGTGAAATTCCACGAGGAGCTAAACACATTTCCATATGCTACATGATTCAAGTAGTAAGCTGTGGCAAGCTATTATGTAAGATAAACACTCATATCCATTTCTACCCAAATTGGATACAAATCAGCATAAAACTACAAATATTGAGATTCTACTTGAAGATAAATAACCAGATTCTTTCATCATAATGTAAGAGAAAACTTTCATTTTGGGGAGCTGCTGATATAGCTTAAGTTAGTTGATCTTTATTGTGATAGAAGTTTTTTTTTTTACCTGGATAGATTGCTTTATCTTATAAACAAATTTGGGATAACAAAAATATCTTTTTTAAATTTTCATGAAAAAAATAATTTTTTCTACTGATTTCCAGAAGTAGCTCATCTTTTCCTATCTTTCGTGTACTAAATGTGTACTGATTTTTAAAAGATTTTATTTACTTATT